ATAGGCAGTTATTTTACCAGCAGAATGGATTTAGTTGGGAATAGCAGAGAATTGCAATTCAGGACACAAAAACAACAGCAAAACCAAGTCTGAGAACAAAGGAGAGGAACACTCTTTTATAGAAGAAAGGGAAACACATTGGGAGGGCTTGTCATTAAAAAAAGTCCATTTGAGTAAACTGCGACTTCTAAGTGTAGTGGCTTCTCATTGGCTGAGTTGTGAGAGCCTCTCATGGGCTTGGCTGTTGCCAGGCAAGGAGAATATCTTCCTCCTGCTGGAGTAGTAAAATATAGGCTTCTTCCTGTTGGTTTTGCAAAGGGCGTGAAGGAGTGGTAGGGCATGAGAGCTCCCACTTCTGGCCTCCTGACTCCATTTTAGTGAGGTTTCCGTTCATCATTTTTCACAATAGATTACTGAGGAAAACTTTTTCATGTGTCTGTTGGCCGTTTGGATGTCTTCTTTGGAAAAATATCTGTTCATGTCTTCTGCCCATTTCTTGATTGGATTATTTGTTCTTTGGGTGTTGAGTTTGATAAGTTCTTTATAGATTTTGGATATTAGCCCTTTATCTGATATATCATTTGCATCAGGCATCAGGGAAATCCAAATCAAAACCTCAATGAGATACCACCTCACACCAGTCAGAATGGCTAAAATTAACAAGTCAGGAAACGACAGATATTGGCAAGGATATGGAGAAAGGAGGACCCTCCTACACTGTTGGTGGGAATGCAAACTGGTGCAGCCACTCTGGAAAACAGTATGGAGGTTCCTCAAAAAGTTGAAAATAGAGCTGCCATACGACCCAGCAATTGCACTACTGGGTATTTACCGCAAAGATAAAAATGTAGTGATCCGAAGGGGTACGTGCACCCCAATGTTTATAGCAGCAATGTCCACAATAGCCAAACTGTGGAAAGAGCCAAGATGTCCATCGACAGATGAATGGATAAAGAAGATGTGGTCCATATACACAATGGAATATTATGCAGCCATCAAAAACCCAAAATCTTGCCATTTGCCATGACGTGGATGGAACTAGAGGGTATTATGCTGAGCGAAATAAGTCAATCAGAGAAAGACACGTATCATATGACCTCACTGATATGAGGAATTCTTAATCTCAAGAAACAAACTGAGGGTTGCTGGAGTGGTGGGGGGTGGGAGGGATGGGGTGGCTGGGTGATAGACATTGGGGAGGGTATATGCTATGGTGAGCACTGTGAATTGTGTAAGACTGATGAATCACAGACCTGTACCTCTGAAACAAATAATACATTATATGTTTAAAAAAAAAAGAAGATAGTAGGAAGGGAAAAATAAAGGGGGGGAAATCGGAGGGGGAGATGAACCATGAGAGACGATGGACTCTGAGAAACAAACTGAAGGTTCGAGAGGGGAGGAGCGTGGGGGGATGGGTTAGCCTGGTGATGGGTATTAAAGAGGGCACGTAGTGAATGGAGCACTGGGTGTTATACGCAAACAATGAATCATGGAACACTACATCAAAAACTAATGATGTAATGTATGGTGATTAGCATAACATAATAAAATAAAATAAAAAGATTACTGAGGAAAAAAGAAAGACCTTTAACCTTTTATTAGGAGCAGGCCAATGAGCCAAGAAAATCTTTTTTTTTTAAGATTCTACTTATTTATTGGGGGGTAGGGGCAGAGGAAGAGAGAGAGAGAATCCACACTGAGTGCAGAGCCCAACATGGAGCTCGATCTCACGACCCTGAGATAACGACCTCAGCCAAAATCAAGAGTCGGATGCTCAACCAACTGAGCCACCCACGCGCCCCAAGAAAATCTTGTTATTTTAACAGAGAGAAAGCCAAATTTTAGTTTTGTATCAGTACGATACTTGACACTAGAACTCTTTTTGAAAATATTATAATCTCATTAAACTTAGTAGATTTTGACCACAACAAATAAAATTTCTTTTCTGTAAACATTTTATAATTTTAAAAATATCCATTTACATTTCATCTTGCAAGGCTTTTGGAACCACTGGTTAATTTAGGACAAAACTTCTATTTACAAAAATATATTATTTATATATAATGTATTTATATTTATAAAAATATATTATAACAAATATATATTTATATAACAAAAATATATTTGCATACCTTGCATACAAAGTTGTTCTCCTTTGCCATTAATTACTTTTAGTAGTCTCATTTATACATACTGATTATAATTTTTAACTATTAGTAACTTCTATTTTACAGAGAAAACTAGGAGGTAGATCATTTTGAACTGTTTGTCATATACCAGCATTTTGCAGTAGACTAGTAAAGCTTATGAATATATATGTCATAAAATTTTATAGTTACATACTTTTTTATAATATAATTTTTCAGTGTGGACAAATGAAGACATTTATTAACAAATCTATCTACAGACTCTCTGTACTATAAAAAATAAGCAGCAAAAAGTATATAAACTTAAACTTAGGCTTAGTAACTAATGTTTCAGTATTTTATCTTACTTTGAAATGATCTAGGTATTTAGCAAATATCTGTTAATTTAGCATGAATCTAAGGTTTTAAATTTCCAAAAAGATCTTGGAAACTGTCTTTAAGCTGACATATTATAAAACATAATTACTGTTGAAATAGAGTTTGTCAGAATAATGACTCAGTTTGATTAAAAGCAAATGTATATTTTTTTTATCTTAAACACCTAGTAGATGTGATACTAGCTTATTGTGCTAGTAAACCCATTAAGTTTAGGAAGATTATACTCAAGTAGAATAAAAATATGTGCTTAGAGTAAGGTTGATAACTCATGAGACATAACTGTTCTTATTAAACTAGGAATATTAAACTAGTCTTATTTGCCAAAGATTTAGCTAAATGTTTTGAACTTGAACTTTTAAAATATTTGGGTTAATTTTTGTAAGAATACTGGTTTTTTACACTCAAAGTTTAGAATTTATTTAATTTATGAAAGTCTTAGGAATATTTAATTTGTGTAAGTGCTTATTTATCTCTAAGTCATTTGGAATAGAGGATAAGGGACTTTGTAAGTGAATTTGGTATACTTTCTAGAGACAGGAAAATATTACACATATATAACATACATATATACATAAACATACAGATAGGTACAAAAAGAGAGATTTCATGGCTTTAATTCTAACTTTTCAGCCATGAGTCAGTTATAAACACACAACCACGAAACTCACTGGTTTTATAAGTGTTGGCTCTCATCTTTGCCCCACTTAATTTTTTTATGAGAGTTGTGTTTGTGGCAGATGGGAGAAACTGAGGTTACCTGCTCAACGTGAAGGCTAAAGCTTCCTACTAATATTTGTAGAGGGAGCTTTTAAGAAATGTTTTTGTCCTGATAGTAATCTTATGGAGACTGTAGACTAAGTTTGGAGTGACGGACCAAGGAGAAACAGCCCTTGGGGTGTCTCTAAGATTTGTCTACCTGGATAAAATATCCAGAGCATTCAAATTGGGTTTTTTGGCTTCAGATGGTTGCTTTTGGGATCCCCGAGATCCTGGAGATCCAGGGGCCTAAAGGACCACATAGTGGCGCTAGGCACAGATAATTTGGGATATTGGGAAGCAATAGTAGCTTCAGGGGAAAGTTGACAAGGAAAAAGGAATGAAGAAGTCACAAGAGTGAGTGTAGACAGCTCTTTCATAAGGTTTGGCTGTTGTGGGGGTGGAAACTGAGGTTGAGAAGGGCCTGTTTGTTTGTTTGTTTGTTTGGGACGTTTAAGTAATGAACTCTTGCTCTGCTTCCACCCCAGTTCCATCTCCACTTAGTGATGGAAGTGTAGAGCTGGCTATATGGTCAGACTGAACCCCGGGAGGGAATTGAAGTTCTATCTTGATTGCCATTTTTTTTAAAGATTTTATTTATTTGACGGAGAGAGAGAGAGAGAGAGAGAGAGGGGGAACACAAGCAGGGGGAGTGGGAGAGGGAGAAGTAGACTCCTCGCTGAGCAAGGAGCCTGACACAGGCTTTGATCCCAGGACCCTGGGGTCATGACCTGAGCAGAAGGCAGATGCTTAACCCACTGAGCCACCCAGGCGCCCTTTGATTGCTATTTATGAGGGGCAAAGGGACCCTCACCCCAGATTGTTCATCTGTAAAAAGGGGATGAAAATGCGATTGCCTCGTAATAATAGCTGTGATTACTTAGCAATAAAGGACAAATTACTCCTAACTGTGAAAATAAAGCTGCCACAACAATACGTATGTGCCTGCTTCTGCGCGTGCTGAGCTCCTACACATTTCAGCATGTGTGCATCCGCGTGCACCGCCATTTCCTGCAGCCAAGAGCTCCGACCACGGTGCCAGCTGGGAAATGTGACCATCAATAAGGAAAATGGCTGCCCTGGGCAAGATGGATCTTGGCATGGTTTAAGCTGCAGTCTTGTCCGCACCATCCACCAGATGGCGCGCGAGGATCACAAATGGGCCGAGTCACACATTTCTGGTCTGGCTGGGAGGCTTTGGGGGTTGGTGACCCGTTGTGGGGTCACCAGCCTCTTTGAAAATTAGTGAGCATAACGGCACTGTTTCCCTTTTGTCACCCTCACCCAGCCCGCCAGGGGAGCCTAGGGGAGAAGCTCCTGAGAGAGCTGGGCCTCTGTGGGGCTGCTCAGGTCTTCTGAGCACCAGGGCCTGGGGAGAAAACCAGATGGCTTGAGGCTTTTTAGGCAGGACAGACAGACTGGGACAGGAATGCCACTGTTTGTTTCCAGCTAGAAGACTGTCTTTTAAAACCTCATTGAAGTCATCATGTGTTCTCAGAGTCTTTGTCAGGTGGGAGGGGGAGCAGTGGTAGTGGGATTCTCCCAAAGACGAGAAAGACTGGTCTCCGTGTGGTGGGGGCCATGCTGGGCTCTCCTCTTCCCCATCTTCTGGAAGAGGAGCCCACTATGGCCACAGGAGGTGACATCAGCAGGCAGTGGGTAAAGAAGGACTGGTCCCAAAGCACTTGCTCCATAAGGATATTTATTCTTCCTCAGCACCTTGGCTGGTTCTGAAGAGAAGAATGTGGCTTCCAAGGTGGGAGAGACCTGGCAGGAGAAGCCCACAGCCCTGAGAGGTGGCCAGGGAGACCCAGCTGCACCGTCCCAGCAGCCTGCAGCCCCCAGGACCCCAGAGCCACAGAGCAGCCCCAGAAGACCTGAGCAGCTTGTAGAACTGGACAGCCAGGCCAGCAGGTAAGGGTTATGCTGTGCTGGGCCACTGCTACAGCCCAGGTTTTTTTGATGGGCCACCATGCAGAACAAGCCATAACATGTTAGGCAAATCTGTTACTTTCTGCAGGTGTGAGTGGCTGGGAGGTAGTGGGAAGGTGACCAGCAATGAATGCCCCAGGGGTAGGTCTTCATGGGCTTCAGTCTGGAGCTATAGCATCCAGTTTGTTAGACCAAGCCTGGAACAGAGAAAGTGCACAGAGTATCATATTTTCTGGCAGCCCTTTGGAGCATGAAAACCTGGGTCAGGAGAGGATATGGAATGCCTTTGCCATTAACGGAGATGGGAGGTCTCTTGGGGAAGGTGTGTCCTGGTGTGGATGGGAGCTCCCCAGAGATAAATGATGTTGGATGAACTCTTCCACTGCCACCACTGCCAGCCAGGGTGGCCTTGCATGGCAACATTTGGGTGCTCCCTTTGCTCTCTGGAGATCTTTCCCCAAGGTGGCCACGAGTTTAGAAATAACCAAGAGCTATGGCCCTAGAGACAGTATATAAGTATCTCCCGTGAGCCAGTTGTAGGTAGCAGCCACATACACATTGAACAAGAAGGCAAGCGCCCTGCCCGCTCACCCTCAGGGAGCACATGGTGCACCAACGAATAAACACTATAGCAATAATACCATAATGATAACCACTAGCATTTGCTGTGTACTAAAAATGTACAGGCACCGTTTTTGTGCTTTGTGTGTACTCACTTGATTTTCACACCAACCATATGGGGGGGTACTATTATTATCTCAGATCTACAGAACAGAAACTGAAGCAGAGGAAGGTTGAATAGCTTGCCAGTAGTCATTCAGCCAGGCAGTGGCCTGACAGGGATTAGAAAGCAGAGTCCAGAGCCTGTACTACTTATCACTGTGCTGTATCTGTTGCCTCTCCATTTGTGATAAGCCCAGAAAAGAAGGAAACTGGGTCCTCTAATGGAGAGAGACCAGGACAGGGGGTATTGTAGCTAGGATGGTCAGGGAAAGCTTTTCTGCTAAGAAGGGGACAGTGTAGTTGAAACCTGAAGCACAAGGAGGTGCCAGACTGGAAGAGAACCTGGGAAGACACAAGCGGGCAGCATGTACAAAGACCAAGACGGGAGAGGGAGTTGAGGAGAAGAGATTGGAAGAAGGGCTCTGTGGTTGAAGGGTAGGAAGTGAGGTGAGGAGGGGGAAGGAGACCAGGTGGGCAGGGCCAGGGCTAGGCCTTGTAGACTAGAAGGAGATGGGATGTTACCTGACCAGGGATAGGAGCCCTCCTGGTGGAGGTCTGTGATTGCTCACGTTGCAGTCCTGGAAGGATCCCCATGGGATATTTTCTTCCCTTGCCCCCCTCAGTTCTACTGCCCCTTCAGCTCTTGTGCTGGGTGTGGACCAGGATGCCAGACACTTGCTAGTTGTTCCTTCCTCTTGCAGTCAGTTTCTTCTCACTCTCTGGCTTTGTATTTTATCCCCTATCTGTCTTTCCAGTTTCCCGTGGGGCCTCCCCTCCCAGCTAGTCCATCTCCTCCAGTTTCCATCTCTAGTTGTGTACTTGGGCACTGGATTCTCTAGCAAGGGAGCGATGCCCCAGAGCCCGGGCCAGGTGGAAGCAGCCACATTCAGAGGTTGGTCTGAGCAGCAACATGTTGGAAAGAAGCCAAATTTAGCCCACGACAGTATGTGCCCATAGAGCTGTCCCAAGGCCACTGGAGAGTGGGTATTTGTGAAGTGAATGGCACACAATGGGGGGGGGGGCAGTGGTGGTGCCCAGCAGCATGCCCTGACCTACAGCGGGCAGAGTGAGAGCAAGTAAGGGCCTGGTCAGAGAAAAAACTTGTGAGCCAGCTAGGAGGTCAGATTCCAGGCCAACGGCTGCGTGTGCAGCCAAGTGGTAGATATTCAGAAAAACCATCATACGTGTCAGTTTCTTGCCTCTGCTCATGTCGGATGCCTTCCAAAAATGAGGTGCATCCAAGTCTCTTCTTTGGTGCTGCCTAAATTTATTTGTTCCTCTCTCCCTTGGTGTTGGAAGGGGCTGTCCCATCCAGCAAGGAGGTGAGCTGGACTGTGTCTGTCAAGGCCCTGGTAGCTCCCATGCTCTCCTCAGACCAAGTGAGTCACAGGCCAAGGCCTTTGGCTGTAATGGGGAAGGAAACTCTAAAATTAAAGTCTTACCACTGACTCACAGTGTTCCCTAGTCACTTCACCTGGGTCTTCTTATCTGTAAAGTAAGTGGTTCCACCCACTGATCTCAGGAACCTTGTAAAACACAAGGTCAGTGATTTGCATGGGTTGTTTAAAAACATTGGCATATTTTTAAACTCCTTGAAGTGGCAGTCTCAGGAGTAGGCTCCCCAAACCCTGTTTGATGCTGGAAGATGTCAGCTCTCAATGTTTACACACTCACCCCTCCATTTACTTCCTTCAGAGTGAGAAACCCCTCGAGTTGTATGGTCACTGTTACCGTCGCTGCCTCTACTGAGCAGCCTCATGTTTACATCCCAGCCTCCCCAAGTGAATTGGACTCCAGTTCAACCAGGTAAGAAGAGACACCCTGGGAAGTGTTCTCTGAGCTATATCCTCCCTAGAGCTAAAGGACTTGGTTTTTATCCCATGTCACTTCCCTGATGTTAGCTCTAGTACCACCCCCAACTCCCAGCATCCCATTGGTCAACAGGCCACGTAATGTAGCCCAAATCTCCCCAACATAAAGTCCTGTTTGTAGGCCTGGACAGAGTCTTATCATATCCCCAGTGAGAAGCTGAGGTGGCACTTCCTGGTGCTTTGCCATCTGTAATACCCTGCTAATAATATCTTTTGAGGAACATGTGTGGGAAGGCCAGAGAAAGCCCACTGAGGCCAGGGCCCATGTCCGTCTCCCTCCCATTACTCATTGTAGGGGAGGTGCGCACCCACTGCTTCACCTGCAATATTAGCTATTGCAGGGAGGCCGAGGAGGTGGAGGGGGGCCAGGGAAATCAGAGGGCCCTCTGATAACATCAAGCCAGGTTGATAAAGGCCAAATTCAGGGCCATGGTGAGCCCAACATGAGGCCGACTTCCAGTGTTGCCAGGGACCTATCTAGGATGGAGAAGGGAGAGATTAGGTTGTTGGTGGAGATTCACACAGAGTGGCAAGGACCAACAGTCTATGTCTGCAGCTTGAAGGCTATCCTGGGCCAGATGAAAGGGAAAGAAAATGCAGTCAGAGAGGATGGAAAGTTCACTGTACTGGAGTCTGGGGAGGTGGGGGACAAGCCTCCCATAGCGTAGAGATCTACGTGAAGAAGGAAAGCATATTGACATTGGCTCCAGGGAACCTTTTTCTAGGGTTCTCAAATCTGCACATAGCAGGCTTCAATTTCAGCCCAGTCCACGGTGTGCTCAGTGGGCAGCAGCTCCTGTTTGCCATTTTCCTTGCCTGGTGGTAGCTAGAACCCATCAGCACTTCTACTCCCGGGATTTACCATGAGTTCCTTTACTTCCTTCAAACCATGTGGGAACCCTCCTAGCCCTGGACCCCTCCTTTGGGCCAGGCCCAGTCCCCTGGAATCTTTCAGTATACCTCTTTCTGTTCTACTGTGCTCCTTCTACAGCAAAGGGATTCTCTTTGTGAAGGAATACATGAATGCTAGTGAGGTATCCTCCGGGAAGCCAGTGTCTTCATGCTACAGCAGGTAAGAGCAAGTCCGAGATCCTTCCATGATCCTGGATCCCCAGTGCCTCGTCCGGGGCTTGGCCCAGAGTTGTTTCTGTATAATCATTATACAGAATGATTCAATCACCCATTGAATGGGTGAATGATCTAATTGCCCACAGACATGATTTATGAATTTCAAGCTGTTCTACCTAAGTCAGTGCTTTTGTGTTCCCCCTCTATTGTTAGTTCATCCTACACCCCACTTCCAGTGCCATCCCTTTCTGCCTAGCTTTGTTTGTTGGTAGACAAGCTTTCTTTAGTAAAATTCTGAGAGCTTTGCTCTTTACAGAGCTGACAAGGCCCTTAAGGACTTTTTACCTAGTTAATTCCATCATGTTTCAGAGCACAGGGCTCCTCTCTTAAGCTCCCATGCTCTTTCCAGCATGCCAGGGTGCCTCATGTTTGACTGCACACATTGAACACACGTTTGACTGCAGATCCTGATATATGCGTAACTTTTCAGTCATCATCTCTTCATCTGGTTGCTTTGTGATGCCACATGGAAAGATACCTTCATGCCACCTCAGTTAAAAAGTAATGTGCACCGGGACAGCATTCCTCTGGGAATGTTTTTTTATGACACATCATCTCACCGCTAGGATGAGGATTTTAGTAACAGAGAGGAACACCCTGGCCTTACTTCGGGATTGGGCCTCTGGGGATTCTGAACCAGCTTTCACTGGTACTGTGGAATAATGACCATAGGTGTCAAGTACAAGCCCCAGTTTGACCCCATTGGTTGGGTCATTTTTGATGTTCAGTCTTCCTGAGCCCAGTTTCTTCATCTGTAATTCCTTAGGGTGGTTTTTGTCAATAACTTTATTGAGATACAACTCACATATCATAAAATTCACTCTTTAAAGTATATAATTCAGTGGTGTTTAGTACATTCACCATGTTTGCAACCATCACCACCATCCAATTCCAGAACTTTTTCACCACCCCAAAAGGAAACCCCATACCCATTAGCAACCCCCCACACCATCAGCCATAGGCTGTGGCCACCACTGATCTATTTTCCATCTCTATGGCTTTTTTTTTTCAGGGAGCTGTCCTTGCCATCTAGCATTTGCGTCTATGAGTGTCACTTGATTGTACTCTTATCTCCTGGTTTTTCTCCTCCCATTCCCACCACTCTGTTAAGTTTAATTCTTACACAGTCTGACAATTAAATGTATTTTAAAATTGAATTTTACATTCAGTTAAGATGTTATATCTTATGAAAAAAGCAGTAGAGTTTCTTTATTGGAGGATTGTACAGTCTAGTGTGATTTCTCCTTTCACTTTACCTTCCAGGAAGCTTAGAGATAAACTTAATGCTCAGAAAAAAAAACAAAAACAAAAACCAGAACCTGGGCGGTATCACTAACGTGTGTCCCATGGCTTGTAGCTAGTCACATTTTCCTGGCAATAGGATTTTATTTTTTTAACCATTTGTATTTATTATCAAAAGTCATACTACTGAAAAATGAAGATACAAAAATTAAAAAAAAAAACTTCACCTCAATCCCCCCGTAACTCAAGCACAGGTGATATGTTAGAATGTTTCCTTCTTTTATTTGTTCTCATTCCTAATGTCTGATTTCTGCTGCGAGTGGGCTCCTGGTGACTGTCACATTGTAACGCAGACACGTATGTGGGGAGAAAAGCCCTGATCCCATCCTACTGATCAGTGAATCTTGTCATCTTCCTCAGCATGGCAGGTATTCTCTGCCCCCCCCCATTGGAAAGGCTCTTCTCCAAGAGAATTATGCCTCTCTGGCATGAAGTTCAAAGCTTTCCCTGCCACTCAGCATAACAGATGATGGTGGGTCATGCAGAATCATGTCTCGGCTTGTGGCCACAAGGTTAATATTAGCAAAACATTTCCACTCATGACCGTGGTAGTCATCTTGCTCCCATCATACTCTCTGCAGTATTAGAAGCACTGAGGACTCATGTGACATGGAGAAGAAACCTGCATGTGACAGCTCTCTGTACTCTAAGAGGTAAGTCTACTATCTTACCAGGGAGCTCTCAGGTCTACAGAGAAGAAACAGCTGAGGGACATTTCCACACAGAGTCCATTTGCTTTTGTCTTGTGCTTGGCTGCTTCTGATCCACTTGCAGATCTGTCACACCACTACTTGGATGATGCTTCCCTTATTGGGATGTTACACTTGTGGCAACCTTTGAACCCAGCTAAGACCAGAAGGCAAACTCAGAGGGCTACTAAGAAGGGAAATGGTGGTGTCTGAAAGCCCAGGGAGCTCATGTCAGCAGGAGAGGCCTTGGGATTAGAATGTAAATGATCACTTAATAAACCTGCACATATGACCAGAAAGAAAAAAAAAAAAAAAACCTGAACTACAAAAGAGAGTGGTGGGTGGAAAGTTAAGAAAAGTGGGTTGCGATCATCAAGAAACCAGAGAGAGCCATTCATTTGAATTGAATGAGGCTGCCATTCAGCAGTTTCAAAAGCTGTCACTACATGACAGTGGTCACAGGATGGTCTTAATGATAAAGAAGTCCTGTTTCAAAATTCTTGAAACAGGGCGCCTGGGTGGCTCGGTTGGTTGAGCGACTGCCTTCAGCTCAGGTCATGATCCTGGAGTCCCGGGATTGAGTCCCGCATCGGGCTCCCTGTTCAGTGGGGAGTCTGCCTCTCCCTCTGACCCTCCCCCTCTCATGTGCTCTCTCTCTCTCAAATAAATAAATAAAATCTTTAAAAAAAAATTCTTGAAACAGAAGAGAAAGGAGTCTTGGAGATGGAGTTCACTGGGGTCACAGTGGAGGAAACAAGCCTGGAAAGAATAAATAATATGTCTTATGTTACACAATGAGTTAGTGGCAGAGCCAGGACTAAACCCCGGGTCCCTGACTACTCCGAGGTCAGGGATGTTTCTACTGTATTATCTGACTAACTGTGAGCTGAAACTGGTGATGGTAAAATACATGGGGGAGGGGGGAACAGGGCTTTGATAAAGGCAGGAGTCTTTAGCAACCCTGTCAAGAGACTGAGCCCTGGGCCAGCAGCATGAGGGAGGGACCAAACCTGAGATGCTCACGGTAATTCTGAGCCTTTGAAGGGAGGAGCCTATGTGGCTCCAGGTTGGTAGCACCACCCCTAGCTCCTGTCAAAAGCATACTCAAATCTCTGGAAGAAAGCACTCACAGTTTACACCTGAAGGATCAGGGCAGGCCGGCACTTTCAGCAGGTTGTCTCTGAGGAGGAAAAGCAGGGGTGACTCTCAGGAACAAAGGCAGGGATCCTCAAAGTGGGGAGATACTCAGCCTAGAAGTTAGAATCTAGAACTTCAACATGAGGTCCCAGCAGGCTCTACAGCCATACTGTCTTTGTGATGGTCCTTGGAGTATCATGGGGCAGGGTGGGTTCAAGAGTGTAGGGTCTGAGAGGCAAGGTTTACTGGTCCCAGGCATGAAGAGAAGGGTCATCAAGACAGGGGGCCAGGTAGGGCATACAAGAGTATGTCTCCTGTAGAAGAAGACATGGGTCTTCCTGTTCTAGAGGGGGTAGTACCCCCAATATGCTAGGCAAAGGGTCAGGGAGAGGCAAGCTGCCTGGAACAAGAATCATACCAGGAGGTCTTGTGGTCCCCATATGATTTGCAAGTAGGGTGAAGCTACATGACCAATTTCTGGAAATATCATGAGGGTCTACAGTGGGCTGAGACCCAATCCAGCCCAGGGATATGCAACCAATTGCACACTACAGAAAAAGATGGCAGGCTGAGAATCTGGGCATTTAGGTCTGGCTGTGTCAAACCAGAAGGTCTGACTGCATCACATCAGTAGTCTGCATGTCAGCCTGACTGCCAGGTTCTTGTTTTTCATCTCACAGAACAAGTGGAAGGATCTGTACTTACTGCAACCAGGAGATCAGAGACTGTCCAAAGATTACCCTAGAGCATCTTGGCATCTGCTGCCATGACTATTGCTTTAAGGTAAGGAAGAAGGGTGGTGCTGCTAACATGGTCCAGAGTTAGGGAGCCTCATGGATCAGAGTGTAAAGAAGGCTTGATCTCTGTGTGATTGTGCTGCATGTCAGAGGCTTGGCAGGACTGGGAGCTGAATAAGGAGAAGGCTCAGCCCAGGGCAGGCTTGGAAATCACTGGAGACCCAGACCCCTGGGGACTCATGACTTCTCTTATTCAAGACTGTCTGCAGGAAGGCCTGCTGCAGAGAGCTGGCCACTCTTGTCCTTTAGGTGTCCACGAGAGTGACAGGTATAAGAGTCATGAGGAAAGCAGAGCTACACTCCTGTAAACAGCCTTCCCTTTTATTAGATTTTCATATCACCTTCTTTGGACCTTAAACATCACAACTAAAGTCCCACAGCTCTCCTGTAACAGCAATGACTTACTTTGTGTATGTTCCCAGGTTGAATACCCTATGTGGACTACCTCACTATATCCTCATGGTAGCCTGCCACTGTGCCTATTTTGTATATGAAGAAATAGAGGCTCAGAGAGCCTCAGTAACTTGCCCAAGCTCACCCGGCTAATAAGTAGTGGATTTAGGGCTCAAACCCAGGCCCATTTCTGAAACCTGGGCTCCTGACTACTATGTGATCATCCTACCTGGTAGTTTGTGTGAGTTTTTTTGTTCGTTTGAGGTTTGTCTCGGTTTTCTAACTCTTTTTTATTGTCTGCTTCAAAGTCCAGGATGTGCCATCAGCTCAGTGTCTGCTCAGGTGCACCCTCCACACTCCACCCATTTATGTTGCTTCATTTGCATGTTGACCTCTAGCTTGCTTTCTCTTTCAGTGTGGGATTTGCAGTAAACCAATGGGTGAGCTCCTGGATCAGATCTTCATTCACCGTGACACCATCCATTGTGGGAAATGCTATGAGAAGCTCTTCTAGGTGGGTGCCAAGTAGCCAGGAAACTTATTAGGGAGAAGAAATGTGCCCTGGTCTCCCCCTGAGTCTCAATCCAGGATACTGTTATCTCTCTTAACCCTTGTGTTTAGGGAAGCCCTATGAGACTTTGAAGTTTTAGGTATAGCACAGATAAAGACCCTCCCCCACAGACACTTCTAAGTTGCAGGGGTCATGGTCTCTTCCTCTCAAGAAACACCTTCCATGTACCACCTCAGGTGAGCCCTCCAGCTGTCTTGGGATGCTGGCCAGGCCTGTGTTGTTAGCCTCATTTGAGGACAAGCAAATAAAGACCTAAAAAGGAAAAGGGCCTGGGGAAACACCTAGCTAGTGGATGACAGGATCTAACCCAGGACTTCGAATCCAAATCCAGAGCTCTTTGCTACATTCCCTTGGACCACCTCCACAATTGCTTGTATAGCATCAGATCAGGACTCAAAACCAAAGTGTTCAATAAAACAAGATACAGATGGGGGGCCAGTAGCAGGTAAAGGCCAGGATAAGGGGGCATGTGTGGGAGGGGATGGTGCCATCCTGGGGCCGGCCTGACCAGGAAGGGCTACTTGGGCACCTTTGGACTGCATTTTCAATACTGCTTGAAGACAGTTTTGCATGCTAAAAGCCAGCAGAATTGACCCCAGTGTGTGAACTGCATGGGGCCTGGTGCCCAGAGGACACTGCCTTTCCAGATCTTGGCAGCCCCTCCTCCTTAGCACCTCCTCAGCTAGAAGCACGGAGCAGAATATCTACCTTGAAGGCAACGGGAATGGGTAGCAATCAGGCTCTCCGCCAGCTACATGCCTGTTCTGCCTTCTCTCTAGAAGACACATTAATCTGGACTATTACTCCTAATGCCTGGAAACATCAACCCCAAGAACCTCTGACTGGTTATTGGATTGGATGTGTATTTCCAGTCTCATAGCTACTACTATTTTCTTTTAGTTCTTCCAGGCTGAGAAGAAGCTGATGACTCCTGGACAAGTTTGGCTGTCCCCAGTTGCCCCAAGTTGCTGGCTTCTCTTCCCTTACTTTATCCCTCCCCATTTGACTTCGTCATGCTTTTGCCCCTCTCAAGTTGAACTGCTTACATCCAGTAGAGTATCTTAATGATGCTCTGATAATTACTTGTGTTTGTAGCTTTTTATAACTTAAGAAAGCACTTTATGTCCATGATCTTATTTCAGGCTCAAGAAAAAAGTATTGAACAAGAATTTAATCTTAGCTTTCCTAAGACAGGTTGGCCTCCTGAGTTTAGGTGGTCTGGTACAATAGGCAGGAGCATGGGTTTCAGTGTGTCTTGACTTTTGGGACAGAGAGCAAACCCACATTCTAGGTCACAGCTCTAAGTGTACCTTTGGGACTTGAAAGCAGGAGAACCCCTAAAGCTTCTGAGGGGCCAGGTTGAAGACTTGATGATGTCTGGTGGGTAAATTGCAGACATTGAATGCTAGGGATTGG